TGTCAAAACAAATAACTGAAGCAGGAAGAACAACTTGAGCGGAGAGATCTTTCGAAACAAAGAAACCTTAAGCACTTAGCTTTTCAACTTTGTTGTTGTTGTGAAAAAAAAAAAGACGTTCTTCTCATGTGTATTTATAGTGAAAAAAAGCACTAACTTGCTTCCTAAACGTTCTCCTCAAGTTAAGAATCACTAACAATCTTCTTGTTTAAAGCACAAATCTTGGTCCACAACAGAACAACTTGGTCCACAATCTGACAACTGCTACCAATTCTTCTGTAGTTGCTTCATAAGTTAGTAACGGGCAATTCTCCTAAGATTACTCCATAAGTTAGTAACTTGTTTTACTAAGTCGAGTAACAATTATTTTAAAGTTACTATATAAGTTAGTAATTTGTTCTACTCGCTAAAGTTTATTAGATCACAAAATCAATGCATCTATGAAATAGAAACTAAAAATGTTGTTAGTCGAAGATATTTGATGGCTTCTCTTGTCAAAATACTAGTTCAAATTTAAATTACACAACAGTTACATGTTACGTAGGACAGAATACGACGTCGTAACCAGTACCACCAGGGCACGTCAACGTACTAGCTTCATCATCGAATGGGTAGCTATAAACATCAGGGCACAAAGCTTTAAAAAATCTCGAATAACTCGTAGGCCCACACTTCATCGTCGAGTTAACACAACAATATTCATTGGTCTTGAACACCATGCATGGACTTTGGCAGCCGCCGGGCGCCCTCAGCTCTGTAGGGCACTGTCGATTGATATCCGCTGCGCAACTGGCTCCCCTACTACATCCATAGGCCGTCTTCGGACTGAATTTGATTGGAATATTGAAGCCTTTGACAAGAGAGATATCCAACAAATCCAAATTGTTATCTTGATTCACATTCCAAAGTTTTCCGAATCTTCTTAAAATCTTGTATACTTACCCTTAATATCATAAATGAGTCTCATATAAATTTATATAGTATTTTGAGTCTTATAGGATCTTGAAAGCATCTTATCATTTTCATAAGGGTATTTTGGTCATTTACCACTCCAAATCTTGGTTTAATTTCGACATATTCCAATGGCTTTGTAACTTTATATAATCTCTTTAAACCATATCATAAGGCTCCTCATTAAATTTCATGTCATTTAGAGATCACTTTGGTCATAAGTGAGCGATATGTAATTATAGAGGCATTTTAGTAATTTTACACCTACCCTTAGTTTATCCTCTTCTCATAATCTCATGGTCACCAAACTTCATACATAACCTTATCATGACATATTGAGGCTTCTCCTAACATTTTACGAACAATAGAACTCATTTAGTAGGTTTGTGGCTCAGACGTTTCATTGAAATCAATGTTCATGTGGACGCTAAGGTTGACAAACTTACTTAACCTTAATCCCAAGATCCTCACTTTTTTTTCATGATGATTGCTTTCTTCTAACAACTAGATCAATAGTTTTACTAGTTTCCTGCATTACATTGTCATCCAAGTCAAATGATATGGAATCAACTCAAGGAAAAGTATGGAACGGATTACCTTGATGATCAAGATCAAAAGTAAAGAAAACTAGTGATTCGAATCACTCCACGAGAGGTTTGATCAATACCACTTGAATGACTTTAGTATGAAGTTCTAAACACAAGAATTTGTAAAGAAAATCTTAGCTCTCAAAAAAGCTAAAAAAAATAGAAATTTTATTCTTTTTAATTCTAAAATGTGATGTCTCTCACCAAAGAAAAGAAGATTTTATCTCGCCTTTACAACTTAACCTAGGTCACACATAACTCCCAAATTAAATGGGCTAGTAAATAAGAAATACCCATAACCTCTGTATTAAAAGGGTTAGTTAACGGTGAAATATGGTAACGTATGTGGGTTACAATATAACCTGAACTCCTATATTAAAAACTAGTTAAATATGACAAACAAATATTTAAATTATAATAAAATATGCAAGGAATGAAATTGGCTTATTAGTCATCATTGGACTAGTTCCGTAAATTTAGTTGAGTTCATTAAATGTCATTTAATGCATCTCTTTCTTAAAGCTCAACTTTGCACAACACATAAGGGAGGTCTCCAACGTCTTTTAGAATTTCCTTTGATGAGCTCACCATAGCTAGAATATAAGTGTACAAGGTTTGTTGTAGCTTCTTGGCTCTATCCTTATAATTGGACCTTGAGGTATGGAAATTTCTTGGTCGTGGTTCATATCACAAATTCCCTAAACTTTGCTAAAGATTCAATAATTAACCTCTTTGCCCATGCATCCTCAAAGTCTCATTTTAATGCATTCGTGTAAGGGTATAGGGAAGATTACCACGAAACTTCTAATTGATTTACAGACAATGTCCCACCTCTGAAATCCTCGTGTACCTCCCGTCCAAATCTATCTTAAATCATGGTTTCTTAAATTTAAGGCATATTGACAATTTCATACTGCAGTCCCTCTCCATATATACCTATAAAATTTTGATCATGATTGTAATGTCTCATCCAAAATGTGGCTCGATACTTTTAAATCACCTCATAACTTTCATATTTGCGGTTGTAGTTTTAAAACTTTCCAATTTGTATTAAGGCAGGGAGGTTTCCTACATCTCACTGCTTCCAAAGCTCAGCTTCCATTAAAAGCACTTATGTGATTCACCAATCAAGTATACAACGTTTTCAAAGTTTATGGTGTTAATTCAATTTTTTTTTCCAAGTGGTAAGCCCAAATCACTTTTTTTTTTTTTTTTGTTCATATTTTAATCTCATATTTACATATGAACGTGATAGAATTTTCTTTGGACACTACTACTTTTAATATTTATAGCATACTACACGATATTGCCATCTATGAAGCTTCCTTGGTCATTTTCTTTTCCGTGACATCTACAACACATGTTAATATAACTCAATTGCCTTGTTGGACTAATCTCTTTGTTTTCATCATCGAGACTACCTTTGGAGTAGTCTCGGTACTTTTGCCTTTAAACATAAAGCTAGGTTCCGTCAGTGGTGAGAATACTGCTTTTTTGCGACAGTCTATACTAAAACGGTTTTCAACTGTTTTTTTTTTTGGTTGAATGGCGGATCATTATGTAGTTCCATTGGGAGAGAGATATTTGGGGAAGATGGAGGGAGGGAGGGATCATTTATTTATTTTTATTATTATTTACTTATTATTATTATTATTTTATTTATTTATTTATTATTATTATTTTACGGTGGTTACATCATATACCTCTAAAAGAAGCTTTCGTCTTCGAAAGTGCTTTATTCTCGAAATAACTCGGGTTCTTGTTTTAAGAGTTCTTTGTTAAGTCTTGAAGCACAACTAAGAAAAATTCTTAGAGTCCCTACTAACGACCCTAAATTTTCAATTTCAACTTTCCACTTCTTGAAATAAATTCACACATTTCTGCTAAAATCACGATGAAGGTGACGTAGAACTTTGATATGACAAGTGATGGAACTGGAGATGGCATCCAAACATCTGTATGGACCATTTCCAACTGCACTTCTTCAATTCCCTAGCAGTCTTTGTGAAGCTAACTCGTTTATGTTTGCTCCTAACGCAATTCTCATAAGGACTCGTATCAACAAATTTCATACCTTCTAAAACTCTTTTCGCAGTCAATATCTTCATTCATTTGACGCTCATATGTCTAAGTCTATTGAGCCATAGCCTTGAATTTGAATCACTCTCAGCAACAACAGCCATGTTCATACAATGATGTATAAGGTTTCAAATTTTATGCACCATTCGCAATCTAACACGATTTCTTCCCAACCTCCAAACTCTATTGCATATCTCGTGCTATCCAACTAACCAATAGAGATCAGGTTCTTGAGACCAGGAATATATCTAACATCTTTTAATGTCCACTGATTTCATGTCGTAGTTTTATGCAGACATCCCCTTTTTCTTCAATATCCAAGACTTTGTTGTCAGCAAAATACGCCTTCTCGAAATTTTCAAAATTGAAATTCTGGAACAATTCTTTATTTGGAAACAAATAAAAAGATGCACCGAAATAAAATAATCCAAAATTCTATCGTTGCTGAATTTATAGAATCAGTGTCATCCCTGATTTGTGATTCTGCTTCATCTTTGGTCTTATACAATCGGTCTGAAAGTGACCTATTTCTCTACAACTCCAACAAGTTACGTTTGGTCAGTTTGAAAAATTTTCACAATTTTTTCATTTTAATTGACCTTTGGTTGGACCCTTCGATTTACTTCTTCCTCTTTTGTCAACACTGAGAGCACCACCAAATGAATCCCCAATTTCTCACTTGCGAATACTTTTGCTGAGAACTACATCTTGGATTTCATCAAACTTTAGTTTCTCAGATCCTCGAGAATTGCTGATCGCGGCAACAATAATATCCCACGACTCGGGTAAAGATGACATCAAAATTAGTGCCTTAATTTCATCTTCGAAATTAATTCTCACCCAACTCAGTTGACTTACAATCATATTGAATTCGTTTATATGGTTAACAACAAATCCACCTTCAGACATTTTTAGATTAAACAATCTCTGCATCAAATACACCTTGTTCATAGTCGACAATTTTTTGTACATATTCGACAACGCCTTTAGCAGATCTGACGTTGTCTTCTCCTTGATGATATGGAACGCCATGTTTCTAGACAGTGTCAACCGGATCAACCCTAAGGCCTAACAATCCTTGAGCTTCCATTACTTCGTGGTCATGGTATCCGACTTCACCCCCAACAGAGGTTCGTGAAGATCTTTATGGTACAGATAATCTTTAATTTGCATCTTCCAGAAACTGAAATCAGATCCATCGAACTGATACCAGTTGTTAGGATCGACCCACACTCGATCAAGATGAACACAGAAATAGGAGAGAGATACTGAAAGGAGAAATATTGTCAAAGATTTTTTATTAATGACTTCAGGTATGTATAGAGAGGATATAGATAACGAAGAAAGTATATCTTGAAAGCACTGACAATTACATGTTACATGTTACGTGTTACGAAGGACAGAATACGACGTCGTAGCTAGTGCCACCAGCTCTACAGGGCAATGCCCATTGACATCAACGTATTCCTCATCCAATATGTAGCTATAAGCATCAGGGCACAAAGTTTTAAAAAATCTTGAATAACTCGTAGGCCCACACTTCGTCGTTGAGTTAACGCAACAATATACGTCGGTCTTGAACACCGTGCATGGACTACGGTAGCCGCCAAGCGCCCTCAGCTCCACAGGGCATTGCCCATTGACATCCGTGGCGCAACTGGCTCCCCTACTGCATCCATAGGCCGTCTTCGGACTGAATTTGATTGGAATATTAAACCCGTCAACAAGAGAGATGTCCAAGAAATCCAAATTGTTAGCTCGATTGAGAGAAAATTCAGCTAGAGTTAGGGGCGGTGTGCCGAAGTCTTGGCAATTGAGAACTCTGCCACAATCACCTGTCTCACAAAATCCTCTCCCCGAGCCATCGAAGGAACAACTTGTTCTGCCCCAAGCGCGTCCTGCCGAATTGTCGAGCATATTCAAGGTCCAAGCCTCGCCGTTGTCGAGACGTCGACCGCTACCAAAACTTCGGCTGGTGTCTATTATAGCTGCCCAAATCGTGTAGGGGCAGTTGTTGAGTATAGTGATAGTAGAGCCACCACTATGGCCAATGCTGTAGCTTCTAGTGAAACTACCGATGCTCTTCTGTGAGCCAAATGGCAAAAGGGCTTGGTTAAAAGGAGGCCACATGCTAATGAAGATAGTATTCCTCTCTTATAAAATTAGCCAAGGTGGGACTCACTCCCAACAATCCTCGAACAAAGTACACTTTAAGCCTCCCCTAAGGCTTATGGAGCTCTCGAACAATCTCCCCTTAATCGAGGCTTGACTCCTTTTTCTGGAACCCTCGAACAAAGTACACCCTTTATTCCATATTTGAGGATTCTATTGTCATGGCTAAGTTTAGGGCATGGCTCTGATACCATGTTAGGAATCACGAATCTCCACAATGGTATGATATTGTCCACTTTAAGCATAAGCTCTCATGACTTTGCTTTGGGCTTTCCCAAAAGGCCTCATGCCAATAGAGATAGAAAGTATACTGTGGGGGAGGCGTATGGAGCTCTCAAACAGCCTCCCCTTAATCGAGGCTCAACTCCTTTCTCTAGAGCCCTCGAACAAAGTACACCCTTTGTTCGATATTTGAGGATTCTATTGTAATGGCTAAGTTTAGAGCATAACTCTGATACCATGTTAGGAATCACGAATCTCCACAATGGTACGATATTGTCCACTTTGAGCATGAGCTCTCGTGGCTTTGCTTTGGACTTCCCCAAAAGGCCTCATACCAATGAAGATAATATTCCTCACTTATAAACCCATGATCATTCCCTAAATTAGCCAATATAGCCAGGAGACGCTTTAAAGGTTTTACTTTCTTTTCTCCAATATCAAAATTGTGTTCGTGGGTACACATTTTTTAGTTTTCTCAATTTCTTTTTTCAATTTTTATTGGTTTTCATTGGTTTTTTTTTTTTTTTTTTTATTTTTTTTTA